AAAAATTAATTAGACCAGGTCGACGAAGGAACACATGAGAGGCAATATGGTGCGCGATGATCCTCAGAAGACCATGTCAGCAGAGGGCGGCCGAACATACGTCACGTTTAGAATATCCACGCAGAGAAGGTGCCTCGTCCAAATTGTCTCACGCAGAGAGATGTTCCGTTTGAAGAAATTCCAGCTTGCACTGATTTGCAACGCAATCCTTGCTGCGAGTGTTTTGTAACATGCGCTCGGTTGCGAGGGGGGGAGTATTTGACCTTAGGACTTTTCCATACTAATCTTCGAACTGCTTGGCCTCCGACAAAACGGGTGAAAAAGAAAACCCGGGTCGCAAGAACGGGTATCTTGCATAGCACCACTACACCAACGGCGCTTCGTCTGGCTGTCGGTAATTGAAAAGCCAATCTTTCAACGAAGCAAAACAGATATAGCTCGTAAGATCGCTGGCCTATAGCACGTAAGTTAGGTCATGGCTGTTAGCGAAGAAAACTCCAAGAGAAACGTTTAATATGATGCAACATCTGAGTGTAGCATGAAGTCAGTCGCCTCTGATATGGTTTCTTATACAAATAGACAATTGAAATAAGGATCAGAACTGATTCTGTTGATCCTGGGTAAGGTATTAAGGTCAGATCAAGGTAAAAAACAGACAATTTTATAACCGGACAGCCTGCTTTATGTGGTGTTTTGGACGCTCATTTCGAGCTCTGGGAACACAAGGACATCAAAAGATTGATTTCAGCTTTATAAAGGTCAGGGAAAGTCACTGACTTGAAATGAATGCAGTGGAACTTTTGCAGTGAGGAGGATACCGTGAGTGATAGTGCTTAACACCAGCTGTACTTTCAAAAACTGAAATAATTTTGATCGTGTCCAGTCGTTTTTACATTATAAAGGCCACAGAAGGTAACAGATGTGCTATGAACACATTTATATTTGGTTATAAGAAGCATATATGTACAAGATGACGGTGTGAAGAGGTCTGATGGCACTTTGCAAACCGATCTGGAGTTTGACCTTGTTTAGTCTTTCTGACACTAAGGTCACGATCTAAGGACCCTAAAATATCACAAAAATGTGCTTACTTATAGGCCTGCCTCTGAATTTGGTGCCTTATGCTTTCTAAATTTTTCAGCCCCCAGAGCATCAAATTGACCTCCAGCAGACCATGCCGCATTTAACCGGCTACCCGGGTGCGTGAGGAACAAAATGCTGTTTTTGGTTGTGTGCATCGCACGAGTGTCGACTGAGATTGCGTGAGAGCTGGTGGTATGATCATCATCTTTCTTGATCCCGTGTCAACATCTTTGCTCCTGTGTCAAGAGGCTTACATACCACATGGATGCTTTTGTCTTTTGATGAAAATTGCATCATGCTTATGTCACGTGCACGTCGTTCTTCTTTCCATTTGACGCACCGAGTCACACTGCCCAGGCTCTAACACATTTAGGCACTTACTTCCGTCCAAATTATGTCAACGTCTCAGCAAGTGAACGGGGTATCTTTAAGTAAGGCATCTTTACGATACCAAGTGTGCTGTCATGCAAATGCTCCGAGGCAAAACAACCGCCCAGCTGTAAAAATGTCGGCGAACTTCAAAGTCAACTAAGTCAAAGCTGGAGCCTGGTCCTTCAACGGAGCGTCGTTTAGACAGCCCAGCCAGCTCACCCGGGTTCGTCTCGTTGGGCAGCTGCCGCCACACTGCGACCCGATGGCAGCACAGATGACTGAACAAAAACGTTTCGCTATATGTGGTACGGCCTGGCGTGGCGAAATATCTGAGGAAAAAGACCGTGTGATGGACAGCTCGGGCCATATGACTCGATAAACGACGCCCGTTGCTCTTGTTTAAGTTCAATAGAGTGACCCCAAACTGATGTGGTGACAGGTCGACGTCGAAATTTCGGCGGTGGAATCCGCCTGAGTGAGTGGTCGGAGGCGATGCCTTCACGATAGTGAAACGTGGGGAAAAACAAAGCTGAACACGTAATGCATGTGGGATGACATTATAGGTAAAGGCTGCTCATCTGGTGAGATCTTAGATGCAACTGGTTATCACGGTGCGTGCCGTAGTAAATATTCTCTCTCTGCTTAGGTTTCAGATGCAGCTAGGTTCTTGAAGCTGAGCTCGGCCAGTGCATGAGAGCAGTGGTTAGCCAGCGCACAGAAACAGAGTTCAGTCATAGAAAGCACAGGTGGCTCCGGCTTGAATAAATGTTGCTTTCCCTCGGTGCTTGGAAAAAACAGTGTTTTAAAAATAAACGAAAATACGACTTGGCAAGATAAAGCTATCAAACCCCAACATATGTAGCTCGATGGACATGCTTTTATACATTTCTCGGCCCACCGGTCAGAAATGGATTCAAGTAATTCCTTAGTCGCTTTGCGTAAAAATATCTGCTTTTCAAAGGGCCCATATCAACGCCAAAACCTTGTGTAAATGACGTAGCATTGGCAGTGAAAAATGGGAGAAAAAGCAACATATAAGTGAGAAGCCTGCAAGTGCTGCAACTTTCGAGGCATGCAAAACTATATTTATCGGCGAGCCTTGATGACTATTAATCTGCAAATTGCGACCAAATGCAAGAGAGACGGGGCAAGCCATGCTCACTTTATCGTCCTCGTAAGACACCGGATGGTCAGACTTCCGATGAATGCGCCATCCACTCGGTCTCATTTCAGTGCGCGCAGCGATAGCGGAGCATGCAGCAAACGACGTCCGTTTCCTGCCAGCCCCTATCTCCGAACGTTGCACAATGAGACAGGCCATTGTGCAATGTAGCCAGCATGTAGCATGAAGAGCGTGATGGAGTTCCGCTAGCATTTCAAGTTGTTCATGTGCGTGTGGTTCAAGGCGTAACCGGTGGCAGATAACGCAGGCGGAATGGCGGGCGGCTGCCCAGGAGGAAGAATAAACGAGTACGCCACGATGCTGTTAACAGCCAGGACCATCAGAGGCATAAGCTGCGCGAGTGATACCAAACTGGCGTTGCGAACATATCGCATACATCAGCTGGCAGCTGCAGCATATCGCATACATCAGCTGGCAGCTGCCCAGTTGAGCACCCGGGCCCGGATCTCCTCCACGACCCGCCGTCAGAAAACAGCCATAATATACGAACGTGATCGGACGTACGAACTGGATCAAATGGACTGAATCATGCTAAGGTATCAGTCACCAACCTGCACGTCATGGCCTGACCCAAGGAGCTACGGAAAGCGAGCGTGCCGTGTCCTCTTTCTCAAAAGAAATTTCGACTAAAATTTGGGCACTGGGGTCTTGCGTCGGGCCACCTCTCTGGGCGTTCCGCATGCTAAAATCTTTCTTGGGCCCCACCCACTCTTAGCACGCCCCGTAGTACGGTCTAAGGCGCGCTCACGGCACCCGGACTGGACCGCGCAATACCCGGGCTGGCCAGATGGCGGCCAGCACGGGCCCGCACGTCTGGCGGGCAAACGAGCGCCGCCGGTCGGCCTCCGGCGGCTGCAGTGAGCCGGCGCCGACTGTAATCAAGGGAGCCTTGGAGCGTAACTACCAATGAGGCCGGTGCGTCCTGGTCACAGTGGCTTTCGTGTAGGCTGGACCATTTTTGTGCTGTGGCCGTAAAGAAATGGCACCAAAACAGAAACGGACCATAAAAACTTGTAAGACACGGTTGCGTCTATGGGGGGGGGGGGGGGGGAGCACGCTGTTGGGGTAAACACCGACCTCACTGCATCAGTTACGCCTCCTTGGCATGCCACAGTGGACCCCCAGCATGCCGAACGGTATCGTGCACGCAGATAGCCACAAACTCAATCTTTGGTGCATCGCGCTCTTCACTCTTCGGCCGTTCCCGTATTCGTACGGACACGGGAAAAGCGAGCATTGCGAGTTAATGTCCCGCTGTGTTTAAGTAAGAACCAGAAGGACAGGCCTTCCCTGAATGCAAATAAACAAACTATGAAACTGAAGCATGGCAGGGGAGGCGATGAATTTTTAACGCGTCTATAGATGACGCGTAATGACGTCATCCATGGCGCACGGCCAGGCGCCTCAGTGGCAGCAGACCCGTCTGCGTTCGAACAGACCCGTCAGCGGTGGCAGACCGGTCCGCAGTGACGCCTACAGACCCGTCAGCGTTGGCAGACCGGTCCGCAGCGGCGCCTAAAGACGCGCTCAGCGGCGGTGGACCAGTCGGCGGCGATAGGGACCCGTCTATCGCTCGCCTGCCCTCGTCTGATTAGACCCGTCTAATTGTGGCTCTGGCGGTGTCGCGCCGGCTCGCTCGTAACGTCCAACACTCGGTCATCACGTGATGAGGACAGCGACGCGCCATCGTGGCGTGTGCCGACCGGCTGCGTGCAGCCGGTCCCCCTCCCTGGGTCGCGGCCCGCGACCGCCTTCGCCCGGCTCCCGGAACGGAAACGCCGCCGTTGCGCAGGCACGCCGCCTGTCGGCTATTTCGGGAAACAAACGGGCCATGTGTCCCGGACGGAAAGGCGGAGGCCGCGTAAGTGGCTTCGTTGTGAAGACTCATGCCGCGGGCGCCTGCCTGTTGACTCCACGACATGAATGGCGGCTGTGCTGATAATGGTGCTGCTGTCGTCTGGTCCTCTGGTCGATGACTGGACAGCCGATGGTGCCGTCCAGTGGCATCAGGCTGGTGTAATGTTTTGTGTGTTTTTGTGTGCTCTTTGTGTGTGCTTTTTGGGTGCTTGTTTGTGTCATAAAGGCGGCTGTCCGCATTTATGCCTGCTTAGTACAGTCGAGGACAATGCAAACAGATAAATGGACTTGAAATCTGAATCCGTAAGGCTATGAAATGAACGTCAACACAGCCTGTCATGTGCCTACAAAACGGCCATAGGCCCAGTTTATGCCCAGCCCAGTCAGTTTATGAGCACATTCGGGCTAGGTGTGCGTAACGCGGCCCTTTGAACTCTGTTTCCTTTACTATCGACGCCGCGTATGCTTGTCCTCCGAGCAAGGTTTATTCCGCTGAAGAGACTAACCTTGCGCTGCAGCATCCACAAGTACATCAGCATGACAAGGCCCTTCAGCCGCTTCATGACGCGGAGGAAGATCCTGATCCTCATCGCTGCCGGCTGGCTCTGGTCCATTCTGTACAACCTGACGCCCCAGCTGGAACTCACCCACACAGGTGAGACTTGGACTGCTGAATGACCAATTATTCTGTGCGTAAGCTGTCATGAGCTGCGCGAAGATTGCCCCGGTTACGTGCGCTCGGTGTCAAGAGGTGAGGCGCGAGCGGCACCTCGGTCGCCTGATCATTTTGTGTGAAGAGGCCTGTGTTCGAATCCCATACACTGCGTGCAGCTTGCATAAGTTGTAAGTGCATTTGCGGAAAAAATTATGCACATAGATAAGACAGTAGCAACAGCCTTATTCCGCGGAGAAAAACCAGAAGAGTGGAGATATGAATGCGCTGATATTTCGGCAACATGCCTTTATCGAAACGATTAGCAGCAGTTAGTACTTGTTTGGGTCACTCTGCCATTCGTTTATATTTACTTCTGCTTTCCTTTCGATAAAGACATGCGGCCGGAAATGTTAATGCATCTATATGTCCATTCTCCTGCTTTTTTTTCTCCGAGGAATAAGGCCATTACCACGGCTTATCTGCGTGCGGATTGCGTTGTATCGGTCGCGGCAAGTTTGGTGACGCTGGCAGAGTCGCGACGCTGGCAGAAGCACGCCAATGTCCTGCCCGGTGCCATGGGTAATCGGTGTTGTGAAACGCGGCAGCTCCTGCATCCTATGGAGCCGGTGTTCGGTGATTCGGTGTCAGCGTAAAGTCGGTGTCCTTCTCTGCAGTATATAAGGCCGGAGCGACCCAGTGCGGTCCGGAGATTCCGCACAACACCAAGCAGCTCGTCCACAGTGCGGTCAACAGCACGGTTAACTTCTTCCTTCCGCTCATCGTCATGTTCTTCTGCTACACCAGGATCTTCCTCAAGATTCGAGACCATCTCGGCAGGTATGCTGCCCTCTCAAATATTTAGTTTATTCTGATAAAACACGGCCCCGAGTTCCATGCTATATTTAGGCAGTTGAAAGGTCGGAGGCAGAGAGAAAGAGGGAGAGGGAGAGAGAGCGTGCTGGCATTATCTTTTTTACGACATTCAACCCTTCCTGTGTTGACGGTTACAAAGTTGTTTACTTGTTCTTGACTCTCATTTTAACTTTTGCCAGCCATGTTCGTATTCAGTGTAAATGACGAGAATACAGGCTCGCTTAAAAGGCCTGCATTTCACTACAGGCATCATTATATTTTACTATGCAATCCGCCAGAGAAGTGATATCAGATCGGTAACGAAATTCTCGTCTCCGAATCTGGTTTTACGACGCGATCACTTTCTCCTGGGCGAAACGGGGCGACGTCGTCCAGTGACACTGGTTTGCTCACATCTGTCCAGAGGTCACACTAGGATCACCTTGATGTAATCGAGGCTTAACAGCTCGAGACCAGATGGGATCAGGACTGGGATGTGCGCGCCGGGGCTTGAAGCATCGCGCGCATTCGATAGGAAATTATAATTTTGAGCGTGAAGTCGCTTGGCCATTTGGACATTGGATAGCTTCAGAGAACACCAAAAACTCGTTAAGTGAATATTCGTTTAAGAAAAAAGGAAAATGTCATCAGGTTTTGTGATATTCCGTCTCTACCACCTTTCACTGCTTTTTGAATGCTGTGCCACTGCATAACCCCTGCTCTACTTCATCATCTACTCATTCGCCACAGCTCCATCCTGGGGATGTATGCGCGCCAGGCTTTGTAAACATCACCGCGAGCTGCGCATAGCTTCACCTGTTGGCAATACTCCGCTACAGCTGACAGGATGGCTGGTGTCACTTCTCGCTCTGAGAGGCGTCCACGTCATGCTCAATACACGTCACTCCCCTCGCTGAGAGCTGCCTGTGTCGCGCTCAATACATGTCACTCCCCCAGCTGAGAGCTGCCTGTGTCGTGCTCAAGACGCGTTATTCCCCCCGCTGAGAGCTGCCTGTGTCGTGCTCAAGACATGTCACTCCCCCCGCTGAGAGCTGCCTGTGTCGTGCTCAAGACACGTTATTCCCCCCGCTGAGAGCTGCCTGTGTCGTGCTCAAGACATGTCACTCCCCCGGCTGAGAGCTGCCTATGTCGTGCTCAAGACATGTCACTCCCCCCGCTGAGAGCTGCCTGTGTCGTGCTCAAGACACGTTATTCCCCCCGCTGAGAGCTGCCTGTGTCGTGCTCAAGACATGTCACTCCCCCGGCTGAGAGCTGCCTGTGTCGTGCTCAAGACACGTTATTCCCCCCGCTGAGAGCTGCCTGTGTCGTGCTCAAGACATGTCACTCCCCCGGCTGAGAGCTGCCTGTGTCGTGCTCAAGACACATCACTCCCCCGGCTGGGAGCTGTCTGTGTCGCGCTCAAGACATGTCACTCCCCCAGCTGAGAGCTGCCTGTGTCGTGCTCAAGGCATGTCACTCCCCCGGCTGAGAGCTGCCTGTGTCGTGCTCAAGACATGTCATTCCCCGGCTGAGAGCTGCCTGTGTCGTGCTCAAGACATGTCACTCCCCCCGCTAAGAGCTGCCTGTGTCGCGCCCAGGATGCGTGACACGTCGAACATGGCGGAGCGTCGGCGGCTGCTGCAGCAGCAGCGCATCGCCGTCACCTTGTTCCTGGTGCTGGCCTGCTTCCTGCTCTGCCACGTGCCGTACATCGTCTACTCCACCGGCCTGGTGCTCGCCACCGACCGCATTCCGCTCATCATGAACCCCATCGTAAGTTGAACGGCATCTTCACGTGAGGACCTCGTGAGTCGAACTCCGCGCCAGGCTCTGGGAGCGAATTCAATCTGTCCCGGCCTGGCTGGGCTGCGCGCTGGAGTTTTGGAAACCTTTCCACTTATCACGAATACCATCATGAATTAAACTCGCCACTCGCCTTATTATCAAATCTATCGGTGGTCAGACTCCCCCTTCACACATCAGTTCACCTGGAATTACGCGATCGGATGGTAGGAGTTAGGGCTCACACAAAAAGCACTGCTTAGCGTGCGCTCTGATCCCAGACATACATCCATTCAAAATATTCAGATGGAATATTTTAAAAACATCATGAGCCCTACTATGAACTGAACTCTTTGCTGATCCACCGCGAACCTGATCGTGTGTGCTGTGACTCATCATCCATCGAGTCTCATCGTTACCTGGATGTGCGCCGCTTTCTATGATGCCCCTTTGCGGGCATCACTGTTTATTTTGGGATTTACCGTGGGCGTGACTTTCCCTGCTATTTTGACTCCGTGTGATCTGTAGCTCCTCTGGAAACCCGCTTGTGCAATTTGTCGGTGGGCAGGGCTGATAACAACAGCCGAATGCTCAGACACCCCACCTGATAACCAGGCTTTTTTCGGTTGTCATTCCATTTTGTGGTGTAAGGAGATTGCCTCCAATGCGTAATTCCGAAGCCGATGAACGAATCAGGCTGATCCAAACGGAAATTGATACCTCTGAATCATGCTAACTCAGCACATGTAAGCATGGTGATCCGTATGTTATTGGTAACGTAAAGATCCGGTGGAATACCACGATTTTGCGATCTCCTTTCATTAACACACGCCCGGGCGGCCGGCTTGATACATTCGCTCGGATGGGGGGGAGGGGTTAAACTGACCCCGCTGAGATCTCGGGAGCTAAGAAGGCTAGATACACCAAATTTACCAGGTGTATTGACCTGCACGTGAACTCACTTAGGTCAAAGTTTGAGGTTCCTAGGTCGTAACCTTCAGGTTGAGTAAGGTCAAACAACGTAAAATTCCGGGACGGTCTCCGAACCCCCAGAACCTAGATGTCTGTTTCTAAGCAAAAGGTCGCAAGGTCATTTAATGTCAGTGACCTTGTTTGACCTTTTGAAGATCATGGTGACCAAAATCATGCGAGACTGCTCTGAGTTTTGCATTTGAATAAGCGAAAAAGATTGCGCTAGGCAGTATGTTCCTAAAAACAAAATGTCAACCTGGGTTATCTCAGGTCATTTACCTATTTTGACCTCTGACAAGTCAATGGAAGATGTGAAATGCGGTTTCTGCTATCAATAAATTCTAAATGAGCAACAGAAACTATCCAATACAGCAAACCCTAGAGTAATAAAACAAGCTGGTTTTAATCTTGGGATGACCTTCATACCTGACCTTAGGTCAACGTAATTTGTTCAGTCAATATTTGTGCTGGCTAAGAAAGCATATCAGAGATGTATGGCTGCGTCAAAGACGCCTTTGTTGCATTAAATTGAACGATTCCCTAGAAATTGCCTTCGCTTAAACCATGGCCTGACTTTGACCTGCCATAGGGCAGCAACCTAGCAAGGAACATCTTTTTTTGTATCAAACGATCCGCCGTTTAATTGTCTACAGTTATGTACAATTTGGCGCGGCTACGCCTCGCCACTTTGAAGCCATTCTGGAAAATCTTTGGGGGGCAATCTGACCCCCACCCGAGCGCGTGTTAATTTTTAATGCGCAGCTATGCTGAATCTAAATGAAGCCTAAATGGTTAATTCAAGATGCCTGCTACATACTAAAAATGTACTTGTGCACGTTTATTGACCAAGTTCAATTTGAGGTCAGGTCATGTCAACACTTTTGGACGGTTCTGTACCTAACCATGATACCCAAAGTACCCAAAGCCGGAGGCCGATCATAAAGCGCTCTTATTGTGTGATATCTACGTTGTCCTGTCGCCATATTGTGCATTAAAGGGGTGCTACTTAAAATTGCCTGCAAATGTATTTGATCACCGACAAGCTTGCGACACATCGTGCAATTTGTCGGCAAGCTGTAGTCCAAAATCGTCGTGAATGAACATGATGCATGTCCTGAAGTCGCGAAGCACTTTCAGCGCTCGATTGTGTCAGTCATTTTGTCACGACCTAGGATCTAAGATGAGATGAAGCTTGAACTATTTCGAGCTTGTTGCAAAAATGGTATCTCACCGTAAAAATGGAGTCTGTGAATAAAGCATGCATAAGTGTGAAATAAACTCTGGAGCAGAACGTGTTACCAGAGGTCACCTATTGACGTCATTATGGTACTTAATCGCCTGTACTTTGATCAGATCCTATGAAAAATGCCAGAACTCGTGCCAAAGACGCACGCAACAGGAACCAGTGCCAAGAATTGTGTAGTGTCGGCGAACTTTATAGCGTCGTTATAAAGATGAAGTAAGGTATCAATATAAAACTTGATTATGGAGTATAAGGTTTGGGTATCCGCAATATCTGAGGCGTTCTTCCACCCATGGAAGGCGAAGGAACGTCTCAGAAGAGAACCTTTCCATTTGCTTTGAAGCTAAAGCGCTGAAAACGAAGCATCAGGTGAGGCGTTGTGCTTCCAAACTCCGAAATGATGGTTAATTTTTGGCAAGCACTCAGTTTTTTCCGGTGGCATGAAAGGCTGGGTATTGTAGGGTGTAGCTCACTGATAGGGTGTTGGAACCTCAATAACATTCCAACAGATCTACATTCAGTTCATGGTGTGTGCCGCGTATTTTGGACCTCAGAAAGCCTCTGCACCTCTCGCTCTGAGGGAACATCTCAAACTGTGTTTAGAAACCATAGTGTTTTTAGCTCTTGAAGCCGGCTGGAAGAGGTTCCTTTTAAGCTTGGAGCATGTGGAAATAGGTTCTAAACTATTCAAGACAAAATTTACCAGCTTGGAACTTTTTAGCAGTAACATCATATCATGACAGTATTGAAGGTCAGCGAAAACGATGACAGCAAAGTTGGTAAAAAATGATGGTTACACCAGCGAACGTTTCCAGTTCGCTTTGAAGCCACTAGCTGATCCTCAACTCCTAATCGTAACCTGGAGGGAGTCAAGCTTGACAAGCGTGCTGGCGACGGTGTGTGCTGGAGGGAGTCAAGCTTGACAAGGCTGCTAGTGACGGTGCGTGCTGGAGGGAGTCAAGCTTGGCGAGCGTGCTAACGACGGCGTATTCCGGAGGGAGTCAATCTTGACGAGGCTGCTGGCAACGGCGTGTAGTGGAGTGAGTCAAGCTTGACAAGGCTGCTGGCAACAGCCAAGCTTGACGAAACTGCTGGCCACAGTCAAGCTTGACAAGGCTGCTGGCGACCGCGTGTGGTGGAGTGAGTCAAGCTTGACAAGGCTGCTGGCAACAGTCAAGCTTGACAAGGCTGCTAGCAACAGTCAAGCTTGACGAAACTGCTGGCCATAGTCAAGCTTGACGAGGCTGCTGGCGACCGCGTGTGGTGGAGTGACTCAAGCTTGACAAGGCTGCTGGCAACAGTCAAGTTTGACGAAACTGCTGGCCACAGTCAAGCTTGACAAGGCTGCTGGCAACAGTCAAGCTTGACGAAACTGCTGGCCACAGTCAAGCTTGACGAGGCTGCTGGCAACAGTCAAGGTTGACGAAACTGCTGGCCACAGTCAAGCTTGACGAGACTGCTGGCGACCGCGTGTGGTGGAGTGACTCAAGCTTGACGAGGCTGCTGGTGACGGCGTGTGCTTGAGGGAGCCAAGGTTGACGAGCGTGCTGACGACAGAGCCGTCCGCGCCTGCTTAACCCGGACGGCGTCTCGTTCACGTCAATACACGCCGCACCGCGCGGGGACCCGGGCTGTCCTGACCTGAGATGGATGTGCTAGCCGCCTTTCACATCGACCTCACACAGGCAATAAAGCGCGACCACTAAATCAGCCAGCTAAATGGTTTTCGTGAGCCTTTGTGCAGAACTGAAATGCCATTACATATGCGAGGCTGTAAATATCTCGTGCCGTATGCAACAGCCGGCCAATAATTTTTTCCCGATCTTATTGTTTGGTAGGCAAGGCTGCCGTCACCTCTGTTCTGACACGTCTTCTCCCCGGAAATTGCGCCCACATGAATAAAAAAAAACTCCACACGGCTCCTCGCCACCATTCACAAAGGAAGATATTTCGGGAACTATGCCCGCCCACGGGAACTGCCCACCAAATTATTATTATATTACTGTCTAGAGCCTCCGGCGATTCAGTTCTAGTCAACATTCAACATTGGACTTATGGCGTGTTGTAATGGATAACAGTGACTGGTTGCGATAAGGCAGGGAACCATTTCCCGGAACGCGCTTCACGCTGTTTAACGGTTTGGTATGATACAAGACGACTATGTTGACATGCGTGACATATTTGTATATGACTGCCTGGGTTTTTATGACAGGCCGTTTTCATGTTTTGATTTGATAAAACAGAATTGTGTTGACAACAACCAAACGTGTTTTGGGGGGATAATTTTGTAATACATGATCCTATTGTCTTTATATCAGCTACTAACATAACACGAAACGTACAGCTTGCTAAGCCAGCGTATGATGCAAAATGGAACTATAGCATTATACAAGGTGAACTCGGGCAGCGCCAATTGGATGGGGCCTCGGGCATCGCTGATGGCATGCGGCCTCCACCAACACTGACTGCTTGTGCATATGGATTCGGCAGTCTGGAACACTGCGAGAATAGCTGTCGGCGCCGGCTCGCGTCTTTGCTGTCTGAGTGCTCAAAATTGAGCTCGACGCATTAGAGAGGACACAGCACAGACCAAGGAGAGATGGCTGCGAAGATCCTGACCTCATCTTCCGAGTAGCTATGAATTTCGGCTCTAAGATCTTGTTGGGCTTTTTTTGTTTACGCGAGGAAGAAGGACCTTCAGTTCCTGTTTGTTAGGTATTACATGGTTTTGTGTTTTAAGTGAGCATTAAGCACATATTTATGCATGTAATCATGACATCGTAATGCATGCAATCGCGACATGTCATGCAAAATCATGGCAAAATCCTTCCATCATTTTACCCGTCTCCTTACGCCCTGGGCCAGTTGACCGTCTTTGCTCAGTGTATAGTATGCACTGCTCCCGGAATATAAACCGTCGCAAAGTATGCCGTCCTAACAGTCACATGTCCGGTTCTCTACTACGCGGGCCTCAGGCACGCACATGCGTTTGGGGACGGCATGTCACCGTGGTCTTAGATACAGCACTGTGCAGCATGTTTAAATCTGGCGCAGCCCCTGTCCGTTCGATGACCGCGTTCTCACACCTGCCACGGCTGGCCTCGTAGAACCAACAGTAAGTGTGGATCAGCAGGCGTGCGCCTAGCACAGCATGGGGCGCTGAAGCGTTGTGCTGTGACCCTGAGCAGCAGAAACTATGGAAAGGTTTTGCTAGCGATGCGGGGGACTAAAATGCGAAAGCTGAACTTATCCACATGCGCCTGGGTATTCTCCCCAGCTGGTGTCGCAGCCACGCCAACGCTGCAGCTCTTGAGCGTGGTACCGCATTATATGTTTGCTTTGTGTCCCCCACATTTGACGTAGGAACGACAGTGGCTGCAAGTGTGCTCGCACCTCAAGCTCCAGACTTTCACGGAGACTTTCTTCCTTCCCAATCTAACCGCGTGCTTGAGATCTTTCTACAGCCAGTGCCTGTGATTACCTGCTCCAAATATGTTTTATTTGCCGTTATTCACACGTTTACCGTTCGAAAATTTAGGCATATAATGTGGATGAATTACGGAAACCTACAACATAACGCGTGGAATTTAAAGCCGCAACTCGTTATTGGCTCAGTACCCCACCCATGTCCACACCTATACCAACAGCTTCCCAAAGGCCACGATTTGCACCCAATCTGCACACTGTTTGCATAATGTTCGTGCAGCATTCCATCACATTCGTTAGGCCTAAAAAACGTACCTTTCTTAAATTGTCAAGTTCTGCATAATATAAGTCAGAGCCGGACCCAGAGCTCCACCAGCGGGGATCGCAGCAGCACCGGGCTGACACGATGGAACTGAAAAAGGAAGGGGACACGTGATGCGGCATTGCGTGCAGCAGGACCGGCGCATGGCCGCACATTTACTAGGCTCGGGGACATGTTTGTTGAAAACCAACGGCAGTGCAGGCTGATGTATCATGTTCAAACCACGCGACCACCTCAGCGCCGTATGGCTGACGGGGAAGCCAGTTATCAATTGGTACGCGGCCAATGACGTCTTAGAAAATGACCTCCGTGCGAGCGAGCTCCTTAAGCCCAAAACATGGGGATTAAGCTAGAAATATTTAAGCGTGCGTCAATACCTGCATTTTTGTCAATCATGTGTAAATGATATCCGGTGTCAAACAAAATACTGACACATTTTGTGAAGAACGCGATCGCCCTCAAGTCCAGTGTGAACCAATTGCAAGCTTATCCATTTCATCAGCCGCAGCGGCCATGTTGATGTTATTCGCGAATCGATGCGTGAGCGCTAATCAGTGGAATGCCAAGAATGCTCGCCGTTCAGGAAAGCCGAGCTCGACCAAGAATAACAACTAATTAGGGTGGATTCCAAAGGCATCTAACTTGCCATTAACTTGCCTTACTGGCATATAACTTGCCAGTAAGTTCTGAGCTGTTTATTTCACGGGCACGACAATGGCATCGGCAGCCGTAATACAGGATAAGCGAGCCCTCTCGCCAACAGTAGTTCGTATGATCTCGCGCTGGTAACAAGACATCACCAGTTCATTGCGACCCGACACTATTAGTACATCGTGGTAATCGTGTCGAGAGGTACGGGGCCATCACGCGCATGACATGCGTTTCTTTTCGTTTCCATCGTTTATCACCAGCCTCACAAAACTGTCAGCATTCGTAAACGTTGCACTTTACCTCTGGGCTTGAGTCATGGAATCGTGGTTACATTTTCCCTCTCCCGGGCTGCTCGCTCATCATGCCTGCGAGAGTTAAGGACCCTACCGCACCAAACAGCAAAACTGAAACAAACATGGCAGGAAGGTGCGCGCCAGCCTGGGAGTGCCATCACCAGACATGTCCGTGCACTTATCACGTGGGTCTGGAGCTGACCAGCCTGGGAGTGTCATCACCAGACATGTCCGTGCGCTTATCATGTGGCTCTGAAGCTGTGAGCAGCCGGCAGCTGCTTGCTGTCGGCGTGTGTTATCTGCTCCGCCGCCGACAGCCGATAACGACGGACACTGCGTCGCCGCGCTGCTCGGGGCCCGCCCCTGTCGGAGGTCACGGCACGTCCCGCGTCACGCCGGCGTCACGTCCGCTGTTACGTCGGACGTAGCGTGGTACGCTCCACCAGGAAATGAGTCACACGTCACGTGGAGCCGAGAGTACCGGGGAATAGCGTGACGTTTGGCGGCGCGCTTTGGCTGGTGTGCCGATATTGCGAAAGGCTCGGTTATGGAAACGACGAAAAACCTCCAAACCATGTGGGATCCTTTCCACAGGGATGGTGGCGCATAGCTGAACGAGAGATCCGTCGGTCCCCGACCTTCATGGCTTGCGCATCGAAAGGACTTGAGATACGACGTCCCATTTTACCTGATCGGACGGGAAATGTATTGCTGGTTTCTACTTGGCGTGTGTTCATTCTCGATATACGACACCGAAACAACATCCGTCTGAAAAAGCACTAAGGCTACCAGGGCTGTCGTGTACACAAACTGTTACGAACATGTGCGTGCCGTATAATTAGCTGTCATATAGAGTCTGTACGCTAAATGAGTCGAACTGACACATGCGCATGAGGCCGGATTTGCACTACAGTCATACGGATATCACCACACGAATTTGCTTTGCTTGGTGCCCTTTTGTTTCAATTTCCTGATGCGTGTCTGAACTCAGTCAATCCCGTGCTTGTAACGGACTGTACACTACAGTGCTGGAACACCGTACTGCAGTGTACACTACAGTGTTTTGTAGTCTACACTACAGCGTTTCGGCGATGCTACTGCTTGTACCTGAATTCCACATGGCATTTCAGTTGACTTGGTGACTGTTCCACGTGCGTGAACTCTTACTCAACCCTGTTTTTTAGTGGTAAGGGCTCTTGTACCCGAACAGCGTACCGATGCGGTGCGCGTACCTGAGCTCGGTTCGGTGTACCGCTGTAGTGCCTGTACCCGAGCTCGGCCCAGTGTATCGGTGTGGTACCTGTACCTGAGCTCTGCCCAGGTTGTTAAGCACCTGTACATGAACCGTTCCTGTATTTCTATCGTTCTGCTTGTACCCGAACTCAGCCCGTTATTTGCAATCGCACTGGTGTCTGTACCTGAATTCAGCCCGTTGTTTACAATCGTACTGGTGTCTGCACCTGAACTCAGCCCGTTGTTTGCAGTCTTACTGGTATCTGTACCTGAACTCAGCCGCGTTGTTTACAGTCGTACTGGTGTCTGTACCTGAATTCAGCCCGTTGTTTACAATCGTACTGGTGTCTGTACCTGAACTCAGCCCGTTGTTTACAGTCGTACTGGTGTCTGTACCTGAACTCAGCCCGTTGTTTACAGTCGTACTGGTGTCTGTACATGAACTCAGCCCGTTGTTTACAGTCGTACTGGTGTCTGTACATGAACTCAGCTCTGAACCCCATCACATACGGCGCGCGGAGTTCCTCGTTCCGGGAGAGCTACAAGAACATACTGCTCGGCCGGAGCCGTTCTCCAGTTCGCCAACACAGGTACTCTCGCGCTGGAACGACGCCGCCGCCCGTGCTATTGGCTATCTGCAATAAACTCTATCGTAATGAGCTTTCAGATAACTTTTTGGATTTTGAAGTAATGCCGGCACGTATTTGAAAACTTGGAATGCTGACACAGAGGGGTATGTTGGTACGAAGTTGGTGGGTTACCATTCAGGCGGAGTTTCGTGGCAAGTGGGTCTCCCCTACATCGATGGTCGTAGTTATTACACATGCTGCAGGGCTGGGCCCATCCTTTGTGCTCCATGGTCAGACTGCCTGGGTGCGCTGTGAGCTCAAGTAAAGGTGGTCCTGCCTGTCTTTACTGGATCTCCCTCACCCCCTCCCACTAGTTTTATGCCGCGATAGACCAGACAGCTTATGCGCGCATCATCCCGGATGTACAGCATTTCGACTATTTTTGAATACTTACAACGGAATCTGACCCACAAATGACCCCCTCAGTTGGGGATGACGTGACGGCCGTCGAAACATGCCGTCACGCGTTGCCGTTTCGAGAAAATGCCAATGATCGGCCCGACGCCGGCCGGCCGTGGTCGGCTGTCGAAGCAGAGTGGCGGGCACGTGGCCCGCGTGCATGTCTCTTTTTGGAAGGTCATACCTTTGGCCGAGGATGTCTCCTCCCCGTGGGAGTTCGTGGGCGTAGGCTGGACGTCAGGAGGTCCGGCCATAACGTGCATTTCAAATTACTCAGGCACCATCCGGCGATTGGATGGAGCAGAAGGTGACGGCTGACCTTTGGCGTGTAAGGAGGCTCCTCCTCTGAGGAGAGCGTTCCCTCGCAGCCGTACCCACAGGATGCGTACTATACAAAACTAAATGACGAGTGGGGAAGACGATACTTTTTTCGCGTCAAGAACCAAGACATAATCTTTGTGTTTAATAGCTTTAGGTGTGGCATGAATCGTAAGAACACTAACGGCTGCTGAGCTTTTGGTAGTGACATCACCGAGCGCGGTCCTACGTGTCGCCCGCACCCCATAGCGTGCTAAACACGCGTGACCTAGGCCCCGTTCTCTGGCGATTGGGTGAGGTGGGTACTTGTTGACACAGCCCTGGCCTCGCCACGCACGCTCTGTAGGATGCGAATAAGCCCTGGTGAGATGGGCCCGTGCTGACCCCGCCCTGAGCTCAAAGCGCCACGTTCTATGGGACACTGTGCTGATGGGGGGATAAGCTGGGCCCGCGCTAGCACCGTCTTGACCCCACCAGGCACGTTCTATGGGACACTGTGCTGATGGGGGGATGAGCTGGGCCCGCGCTAGCACCGTCTTGACTTAACCAGGCACGTTCTATGGGACACTGCGCTGATGGGGGGATGAGCTGGGCCCGCGCTAGCACCGTCTGACTTAACCAGGCACGTTCTATGGGACACTGTGCTGATGGGGGGATGAGCTGGGCCCGCGCTAGCACCGTCTTGACTTCACCAGGCACGTTCTATGGGACACTGTGCTGATGGGGGGATGAGCTGGGCCCGCGCTAGCACCGTCTTGACTTCACCAGGCACGTTCTATGGGACACTGTGCTGATGGGGGGATGAGCTGGGCCCGCGCTAGCACCGTCTTGACTTCACCAGGCACGTTCTATGGGACACTGTGCTGATGGGGGGATGAGCTGGGCCCGCGCTAGCACCGTCTTGACTTCACCAGGCACGCTCTACCAGGTGCGGGCACTATCTCAAGCCAGTTTCATAACATGAATCTACGACTTACCCGCCATTGAAAGCGCACCCATCCGAGCACAGTTCACCGACTCTTCCCATTCGATTATGCCCCTCAGATATAACCTTTCACTTAATTTCAACCTTAAGCCACGTGCTAAAATTAAGCCCATGTGGTTACACGGCGATGCCTAAAAACTTAGCTTGTAGCTTCGCTTTACGAAACTGGCTATCGGTGCACTGACGGGCTTGGTACGTGCTTACACTCATCGGAGCTTATAACACGCGTGCACGAGCTGGACGCGGATCTACCACTTAGTCTGGTCCTGGTGTCAAATGTCACTGACACCAGCCAGCTGGTGTAGGTGATCGCTGGCACAACGCCACCTCCACTCACCGTCTGGTGGTTCGGCTGCGGTCGGGTCGGATCAGCGTCCAATCCGCATCACTTCCTTCCCGGCACGCCGCCGCCAGGTGACACCACGGCCGCGTGGGCATGCTCTCTCTCTCTCGCCCTCCCTCTCTCTCTCTCTCTCTCGCTCTCTCTCACTCTCCTCCTCTCTCCCCCCTCTCTCTCTCGCTCTCCCTTCTCTCTCTCCCTTCTCCTCTCTCTCGCTCTCCTCTCTCTCTCTCCCCTCTCTCTCTCTCGCCTCTCTCTCTCCTCTCTCCTCTTCCTCTCCCTCTCTTCTCTCCCTCTCTCTCTCTCTCTCTCTCTCTCTCTCTCCCCGTCAGCGTTTTCCGCTTTGCTTCTCTCGCTAATTTCAGTATCTCTCCATGGACTCATTGACTCTCGCTTCTTCTGGATAATTTCCTCGCCCTTTTCGGCACGCTATGGCTTTCACTTTATACTTTGTTTCACTTACTTACTGAATGCCGCGGCTTCACAGCTTTCAGTCCCTAAAATGGGCGTTAGCGGTTCGATAGTGTGGTGACGGTACTGCTCGATGTACCGCAGTGTATAACGGTGGGCTATCCTGGTCACCTATGCATAAGCAACGGGCATATTAATCCATAAATTACAAATTGTGTTTCAACTTAACCGTTTTCGGTCCCTTTTTCTTAAAAGCTTACATCACAAACAAAAGCCGTTATTTTCACGTCGGTTACTCCCCTCTCTTCGACCGTACCAGCGCCAGCAGCGTAATGAGCATTGTCCCAAAGCGCAAATGGTGGTTATTGGTACCGTTCTAGTAACAGCTACACTTGGTCTACAGTAACACGAAATGCGACACTTGGGTGCCGCTTTTGAGCAGAGATGGTCCATTTGCGGAGAGGAATGTTCACCAGAAGTTTAGCGAAAAGACAGACGTGGTCGTGAAACAGCCTCATGTGATGTACGTGACTGCCTGAAGCTGACCAGACGTGACAGGAGATCAAGTGACTGACTCTGAATGGCAGAAAGTCCCCCTAGTAGGGACACCACGCTGGGGTACAAGTCGCCGTGCTTGCCTTCACAGGGGGGCGGTCACGATTCAACGACTCGACCTGATTTGAGAACAAATCGCTCCGGCTGTATCAAATGAGTCAGCTTTCAGATATGGCCCATTTGGTAGGCCTACTCTTTGAAGTTCAAAAGTTGCCAGAACTTGAAAGGGGGCTTCCAACCCTCCAAACGGCCACGAAATACTGAGTCTCGCCCGTGCGGCCACCGCCTTCTTCACCCGTTTTGCTGAGCAGCCGAGAATGAGAGTGCGACAGTCAGTCGAATCTGTCTCGATTGTCGTGCCCGTTTTGCTGGATGACCTCATTCTCCTGACAAAGTACACTTCCGCCACCGAATATGGAAAAAATAATGTTACTCACTGACATCCAATCGTCACTCCAACGAAGTAACAACGGAAGTGCAAGTCCTGTAATGTAGCGGTCACAGCTCATCTCGCATTCAACGGGCTCTATTTCGCCTGCAGCAGCAGAACATTGCCATTTACTGCTCGGTAGTTCGCTTTGTTTTCTTGTTTAGGCTCAGTGGGCCGTTTGCCTCACACACATTGTCCGGTGAAGACGGGTGAGGCATTTGCATGCGCGCCGTGCGGGGCTGGCATGTAGCCCCTTCAATGCAGTCGCAAATGTATTGCCCAGGCACGGTCCCAGGTATTAAAGATGGTTGCGGAGGTTTCTTTCCGAAGGGGTTTAGTACGAAGGACCAATGCCACCGGAATACACAGCTCTTGGAGAACGTGCGTCGTATCAAATGGTTTAATCGATCACTCATATACCGTGCATCCAAATTCCTTGCTCACGCTGTTTTCTACACCTATGTTTTTATTCTATGCATGCCTATGTATATGTATTTATCTTCATATCAGGATGTCCTATCTGCTCATCTATCCATCCATCTGACACTTAACGTGTATGTTTTTGCCTGAACGCACGTTGTAATGTATGTATGTATGTGTTTCCATCCTCTCTAAACGTGTCTCTCGACTGTTTCTGCATTTCTATCTTTCTCTCACCGCTTTCTCCCTCGATGTTGCCCTTCTTTCACTTTCTGACTGACGAGTGGACTGACAGCAAGGAGGTGGTTTTCACAGAGACGTTCACTGCACCCCTGACCTCGGTTAGACTGCCCCTCGGCCGGGTTCCGACATCTCCGGCTGAGTGACACTCAGGACGACACGGGGTGTGCAGACATGACAGGGCTCTGCCGCCACACAGACGCGGAGCGGCGTGAGTATGACTGACACCACATGGCTTCCGATACCAGATCCGTTCCGCGACCGTTTCCAAATGCTCCACGACTCGTCAGACGAAACGAGGACGACGCAAAGACTGGAGTCCACTGCGACCACCGTGCAATGGCTCCCAATGACAAAACGCATTGACGTCTGTACGTTAGGTGTAGTACCATTGTAGTTGCTATCGGTGGCAAGTTATCAACTGCAGACCATCAATGCTACAAACGCAGATGCCTGCCCCATCGGCTGAACCCCGACAGGAAAGCGCGTCGGTCCTGTTGCCGTACGCGATCTGACACGACCTCTGGCTGTCCCCAGGGAGCATCAGGAGCTGCGGCGGCAGCACCAGGCTGACGCAGAAAACTGGCACTAGCGCTTCGCTCAAGAAGCTTCGTAAGTGAAGATCTGCACTAGCTGCGGGACGGGGCCGTGCGAGAGTTTTAGCAGTTTCAAGTGCGATGGTCTCTTGCATCCATCACTAGATATAATTGATTGGTCGCATTCGCTTTCGCAAGGTCTAATCATGAGTCCAAGGGGAAAAGCTGTTTTCAATGGCCGTATTTTATGCGTGTATTTTCCCAAGTTCACTGCTACTCGGCCCCTTCCCTCATACAGGCTCCACGGATGAAAAGGTTACGGGGTTATTTGGGTTTTATGGGGTGTCTCAGAAGTCTTTTTTCGTGCACACCAACGTCAAGCACTGCACTAAAGCATAAATTTTAGGTGCCATGCTCAAGTCGGCAAAAGGTAGGGAAACTTCCCACCTCAGCTACCTTCTGTAGCGGAGTTCATTCATACGCGAAACAAGTAAGTCGCGCTTAACAGCCCACATTGCTGTTAGAAAAAATAAAAATGTACGTGTTCAGTGCATTCGATCCCAATCTTCTAACATGACGGTCGTTGGTTGCTCTATGACGGTGATTAATGCAGTTAAAAACGTACATTAGTTATAGGACTTTTTTTAAAGATCTGGGGATAGTTCTTCAATTTTGTGATCATGCATCGACTAATGATAACTGTTAGGAACCCGGGCAAGTGATCTTCTATGAAAGCTACTTCCATAACTTCAGTATTTTTGTCCCAGAAATATGTAATACGGATTTCTTGTAAAATTACGATATACTTACGTTATACTTGTTGATACTTATAATACTGCTTCTCCAGTGCATTTCGAACTAAAAGATGTGATTTGACACTTGATATCTGTGAGTGGACCCCTTGCGTTTGAAGTGCGCGAACTCGGTGTGGATACGGAAGCGGCTGACATGTTGAAGTCTCATTACACTGAAATCATTACTTCATCGTAAGACATGAATGGTCACGCGGACATCGAACTTTCAAAAACTACAATTCGGGCCAAAGATAAATTTACGTCAAAGCCAAAAGCGATGCATTCTAGCTCTTCCAAAATGACTTATTCACATCTTTCGTTGAGGCGGGCTGAATATAGCTAATACAGTGAAGTGAGGCCGAACAGCCTTGGTTTATACCTAAAAATGTCTCTGGCTTTTTGGAGGGTTCTGACAACTAAAAATTAATATTTCACTTTTGTGCACTCTCGGAGTGATTAATGATTTTGCTAGCTACGGCCAGCTGAGCTTCCTGCAGCAGTTCTTAATTATGAATGAGGTCGAACGCTTTCTGATGCACACGTTTGTGTGTCCGCGTCAAGCGTGGCCGGAACCCGCTGTTTTTGTCGCTTTTGTGCCGACGGACGTGTGGTGGGTGATGAGGTGGTGACCCTAACACTCTGCCCGACTAACAGGCGGCTCCTCTCTGTCTGACCCCTCTGCCGCGGCCATGCCAGACGCCAGGGATAGGCTGGCTCTGGCTGATGACACGCAGATGTGAGGTTAGTCAGGCCCCTCCTTCTATACGTCCTGCGGATCCCTGCCCAGGACCTGCACCCTCGGGCCCCATTCAAGAGGAACTCCTGTGGCAGTTGGTGGCACGTAGCGTGCTCTGTTGCGCATGGTGATTCATTATTATTTCCCCTTATCCTTTCTTGCTGGTGGTCGTGGTGACGGAACTCTTGACCTCCGGCCAACTCTTTGGTAGCATTGCAGCCGGTTCCCCACCTGCATCAGCCCTGCACTTTGGATTGACTCTGCCATATAGAATGGGGGCCGCCGCCTTATCTTGACCGACCGAATGGGACATCGTTTTTTTCAATCGGAAGCCGTGGCCTTTCAACAGTCTGTCGCTCGCCATTTCGACCGAGAGAGGACGATGTACATATTTCGAGGCCGGTGCCATGTCATTGTTTGCGTTTTCAGCTACCGTGCGGAGAGCTGTATATTGCGATACAGTCCGTGGGGTCGGACATGGCTGGACCCTGAGCCTGAGCGCTTGTTTTCTTTGTGATTTAACGCCGGCTCAAACAACGCGTCGTTTTCACAGTGATCCACTGACCTTACACGATTATGTGACGTCATCATGATGGCTAACGGCAGATAATATGGCGCATAAGGCAGATAACATGGCGCATGAGGCACGCGTCATGCTATCCATGCAATTCATTCGTGACCAATATAGCTTTGCTCACGGCACCCAGCCATCTCACGTGTTGTGATCTTTGGCATGGCGTGATTTTTTACGACCCGGCTGCCTTGAGGTCGACTGTTGTAGGACAGACCGGGCCAAGACGCCCTTCT